TGGGAAAACACGTACCAAATTTTTTTGAGCCAAATAGGAAGGGTGGCTCACCAGAATCACCTTCACTTTTATACCCAACCTGGCGATATAAATTGGACTTTTTATGATTTGTTTTTTTTAATAAGGGCTTCTAAACTATCATGAGATCTTGATTAAGATTCGTCATTCCCCTATTTCGTTTAAAGTGGTGCAGGACTTGTAGTAGAACTTTCCCACAATAGTATGTGTGATGGAAACGTGAGATCCAATTATATGAGTGTGGGGAAATTCATCACTTTAAATGAAAGATGAACACATTTCTTATCCCATGAGTTGGCTGGCCTAACATACATTCTTGTCGATAGGGAAGTTGATGCCTAAAAAGGAAGTGGGTTTAGAGCTAGCTATTTACGTACATAAATAACAAATTCTATGATCCCGACAATTATCGCGAATATTTAATAATGTGCTATTGTGTATTGTGTATTGTGTGAAAGCATTATCTTGCCCTGTGGCCTGTGAGCCGAAGATTCCTTCGCACAATCTACCGGAGCAAACCTCTTTCATTTTCCGGTGAGGCCAGCTCACGAATTGCTTCCAGACATCTTTTCCTTGCAACTAAAGTTTATGTTATACTAACTTACTAAAGACTCATTCGAGACCCTGTTCTTTTTTATACGTACATCTTCGCAACGGTCAACTGTCATACCGGCTCAATAGCAATTCTTCATCGCTGTTTGATGAGACCACTTTACGAAATGAAAGTCGAGTCATGTCATCTTTCTCCCCAACCTTCAACGCGCCATCGTCGATTGTACGTTTACAAGAGCCGTAAACGGATCTTGCTAGGCTGTACTTGTCTTCCACACATTTTGCCCACCTTTTGAGCTCGGTCCCAGGCCCATTTATTGCAATTTGGTAAAAAACATTCGACCTTTTAATAACGTACCAGCTCTTTTTTCCACCTGTCCAAACTCTAGACGGTGCTGAACCACATGGAGAGGCATTGTCGGTGTCATGGCACCAGCGGATCATGCAGCCTGAAGACTTGCTACAGACGGACTCCGCCCATTCGTCGCATTGGCAACCTGCTGATGACGAGGTACAACAACGCCGTGCAAGTGATGCGAGGTAAGCGCTAAAGTAGAATTTTCCACTCATCGCGTCAGGACGCTGATAGCGCTCATGTGGACCCTCAAAGTAGAGGACTTCGTGACTCTTCTACTCTCAAGTAAAGGCCTGAGACCAAGAGACTTGATGCCAATGCTCCGTAAATCCATGTCGTATGTCGGCACATGCGAAAGAGGGACATGCAACACGGTGAACCCGTCGTAGACAAGGAAACGAGGCGACAACTGGCAGTGATTAACAACCTATTAATGTCCAAGTCCGAGTCCCTCACACTAAGAGAAAGCAATCTGTGAACGAGGACCATGTGAAGAGTCATTGCGAAAGATGCCTTCATCAAAGCC